ATTTATGGGCTCTTCATTTAAAATACTTTGCACTTCATCCTAACTTACGCATCAAGAACGTCCAAGCATAAATTAAATTCCGTTAAATGCAAGTTCACATCACAGAAAACAGTCCGGGATTTTTTGCTTCCTTAATAAAAAGCATCTGAAACAGGAACATTTCTAATTCCTAAAAATTCGCTGCAGCCGCAAGTACTGCAAGCTTTTCAAAATCATTCACCATTCTGCAGAGCACTCAAGCGTTAAGCTTATGTTGGTATCCGAAAAACTCAACAGATCACCAATTTTCAGATCCTCGTCGCCTCGTTCGCCCTATGCTGGACAGTTGAGTCGGCGATCATCATTGGTCTCTGTTGGTGAGCTTTTGAATGACATGTCTTTCTCTAGTACCTGAGGGCTTCCTTGAGAATAAAATCTCTGAGTGATCCGACCAAAGGCAGCTTTCGTACATTTCAGGACCTATTTTTCCATTAGCGTACCGTTAATGACGTTTTCCATGTTTGCGACTCAATGGGTTCAGGGCACTAGGCATGGTAGTTAAGCTCCTGGTTGAGAGTAAAGGTACATGCGCAACAGTAAAGCAGAAACCGGACGAAGCGGTCAAGAACGCTCGAAGGGGGCACACTGAGGAGAATTATAGGCCGGGGTTTCTGATCACAAAGTAGCCTCAAGGAGTGATTTGAATGAAAACCGTGAAAAGGGGAACGACTGTAACTGAGCAGTACTCTGAACACAGCTTGCCGCCCACAACAAAGAAGGAAGATGGTCCCGAAGTCAGTGAGCGAAGGAAAAACATGTGGTCTGTGACAAAGTCAAATGGACCGTGCAGGGTTTGAAGGTCATGACCTGAAAAAGCTTCCACCCAGACCAGCTTCGTTCCGGGGTCAGGTGACAGTTACCACAGTAGTATGAGAACGCGCTCTGCTAGGCTGGTCGCCAACTCATTCTACGGAATACATCGTATTCAAATTAATGCGATCTAAAAAAAGTCCTATGGCCCAGTAGCGTCTCTTGTTGGTACTGTGTCTGGCAAGGTTTTATGAGGAAATATTTACTTTAAAGAATTGAGTTCTCCATAAGATAGGAACAGCGCAGAATAGAAGTTGTTTCATAATATTAACTACTGCATAACGCCGCAGTTTGCTATCAGAGCATTGCTCCGCTTTGCCAGTGCCAGTGCCTTTGAAGAAGGCGATGATGTCTTTATGCCAGGCCGGAAATAAAAAGTTCAACCTGAAAACCTCAGCTCAAAAATAGTTGAGTAGATGAACGAAGTTACGAAAAAGAGGCAGCTGGAGAATCGTACTGTGATTCTGGATGAAACTAGAATGCGTGGCGCATCCTAGAATCGGTCACTGAATGTCGTATACTTTACCCGCCGTGTTGCATGCTACTTTTGACCTGAGTTTCTCATTTCTACTCATCATTAAAGACCTATAGTAGCTGGAATTTGATTCATCAGCCAAAATTTTCGAAGCGATGGCAGATTGCTCGGTTACAGCCCATTTGCGCTTAATGTGGTGCGCAATTGCGGCTCATGACACACAACTGACAACGCTTTTCTTATCCCTTCTCCGAATCCATATAGCTTGAATATCATTGGTAGCTTAGATAAGGTCACGAATTGAGATGTGAGATAAAATGGGTCCACAATGGCATGAATATCCGGACAAAGAATCAATTTTCTTTGAATCCTGAGAAATCAATTTTCCTATCAACTTTCGGCAGTATCCGTTGATCACTAGGTATCGATAATGCACTTGTTTTTTTAGACTTCTACAGCTCTACTTCTACAGGAACTTTTGTAGTTCCTGTTGATATTGCCTAAGGCCTCTCCGGTTACCTTTTCACTCTGGGATAGTTGTAATGCTCTGGAACGTGGCACCACCTACCACGGGTACCGTCCGAGGATCGGGTCTTTAAAGCAAACGATACTATTAACATATGCGCAGTCAGGATCAAATTTCGGATTATTTTTGTTCAGATCACCAACGTAAGTGAGTATTCTCTTGCAGGTCGTTGGATAACTGGTAGCAAACTTGTCCTACCCGCGTATCATCTGGGCTTTCTATCCTTCAGACGGGTCAGGAACCATTGGCCGATGAGTGAGCTGAACAAGTTGAAACTGACATCAGAGCGTGTGTTAATTGTGTCCGACCTCCGCCTAGCCCCTATATTCCCGGCACGGTTCGGTTCGGCTAAAGGGGAGGGGGTCGTTTCTCGTATGCTAGTTTCTTCTGCTAGGCTCTGGTAAACTTACATAGTACTTCCTCTTGATGAGATCTGCACCCTTATCAAATGTGAAGCTCAGGATTTTGTATAACTCCACAGGAGTCCGCATGTATCCGCAGAGGGCAGCGTCAACGATAGATGGGAACCAGCAAAATGCCCTCATTGAGCTGAACCGCACCATTTCATTTTGGAAGAGTTTGAACGAAACATTGCCATACAGGTCATTAATAAATCAGGTTTACAATCCAGGACATTCTGTTGAGCTGATTGATGGGGAAGGAAAACGTGTTAGCTTAATGTGTCCCAAAAAGATAGTGAGTTGATTACGGTACCCTGAAATTGGGACAAACTGCAGTTTGCACTGCTTCGAAATGAGCTTCTACGTTCCAATATTTAAAAACCGTCGATATTTTGTTTTGATGACAGCTGTTTTCCGTCGCACTTCGCGAAGTTATGATTCGTTAATATCAATGGCCGCTGCAAAACATGCACGAAAATCACGAACGCACGCGAGCTATAGCATTGCGTACAGGGTACAGCATCGCTGTGCGAAACACCTGGGGGGTTGTTCTTGGCCACTGGGAAGGGGGTCGTATGTGCCTTTGAGAAAAATTCGTCGCATTCGGAAAAATTTTCCCGGTTGTTGGCTTTTCGCTGTTTTTCCTGTTTCATTAGCTACAGCCCCCCCCCCCCCCCACTCGACGGAAGAAAAAGTGGTAGGAATGTGGGAACTTGTAGGAAAGTGGCAGGTAGGTATTGGAGAAGGTGGGGGTCGTAGTGACACCACCATTTCACACATCACGATTCTGTGCCCTGATTGCGTATCACCACAATGGAAGATAAGCGGCTGCTTGAGTTCAAGTTGGAAGATAAGTTCACACTGATCTGATCAAACGATGTTACATGCAACGTACTGATGACATTTATCACCCGAAAGACTGCTCAACCCTGCAGAACAAGAAGAATGATTTCAAAAGTTCTTGAAACTGGTTCCATCAGAATCTTTGAAAGTAGTCCCATTATCAGCCCCTGAAATTACGTGGTAGCAATAGCAACAAAAATGATAGATCTGTTCCTGCAACTAGTTTCATTCGAATATTGATGGCTGATGTAAAGTAACGACAAAAGCAAGGACCATCTTGAATGCACGATTTTTTTTTCAAATTACATCACAGAAGCTTTCCGGGTTCAAGGTCACTTTCTAGCAGTAACTTCACTTGGAGTTAATTTTCTGCTACGTAGAGCCCAGTACAGCCTCCAGTGTCTA